TCGAACAACACACCTACGAAATCGAGTCCAGCCAGCAACAGTGACTGCAAGACTGCATCCCTGGCCTTCGACGAATATCTTCACAAACCGTACGTCGCCGCCTCAGATGTGCAGGGATTGTCCCCAGAAGACCCGCCAGACGTCCCATTTTGACAGGAAACCACCGTCAAGCACGTCTACATTGGTGCAGACAGCGTCTACGCTGGACGGCAATGTAGTGGGGACAAGTTCTATTCAGTGACGAGTCTCGTTTTCACCTCAGCCACAGCGATGGACGGATTTGAGTGTACCGACGTCGAGGTGAACGTTACGTTAATCGTTGTGTCACGACATAGAAGAAGATCGGTTGGGGGGCGGAAGCGTTATGGTATGGGGTGGGATTACAGCAAGACAGAGGACCCGTTTGAAAGTGGTAGAGGGAAATCTCAATCGACAGCGCTACCGCGACGAGATCATCGGCCCTGTTGTTCTACCGTTTTTGCGTCCTCATGGCCCAGGCATTACCTTTCAACATGACAACGCCCGGCCTCATATTGCTCGACTTGTTCAGGATTCCCTTCAACAAAACAACGTGAATGTGATCCCTGGCCGGCTCGCTCCCCTTATCTCTCACCAATCGAGCACATGTGGGATGAGATGGATCGGCGACTTCGACGTCAAACATGTGTTCCAAAGACACTCCAGGAACTTCGAAACATGCTCCAGCAGATATGGACAGATATCCCACAGGACGCCTGGTGTGTTTCTTGCATCGCAACCAGAGGTGGACACACACGCTATTGATTTGTAAATTGACCTTTTGGCATGCTCATGGTTTTTTTTATGAAATCACGCATTTTCTGAAGTCAGTATGGCAAATTAAACCATTTGAACACTTACAGGAGTCTTTTACCTGTTGCAAACCGAAATTGTTTCAGATTTGGTAAAAAACATAACTTTGCATTAAATCTTATTCAATGTCCAAGGAACTTTTGTTGTTCAGTATATGTACGTGACAGAGAAAGGGGGTCGTCACTTAATGTCAGAAGTGGTGATCTTGAAAGGAGGACATTAAATACAAATAACGTTGACAATAATAGCTACTTGCGATGAATTTCACAAACATTTCTGTAACTAATCAAACATGAGAATAGGAAGGGACCATCCCTCAATGGCGAAAAAGTGGTGATCATAAGCGGCTGAAGGTGAAATACAACGAACCTTTTAAGAAACAATAATTTCTAATCCGATTGATGATCCCGTGTCAACCCTGAGTACTTCACTTCAATTCCTCCATATGATCATACATCATGGCCATTGGCTCGTTGGAGCTGAACGCGCTGGTAAAAAGAATGATTAATTACCACGCTAGAGTTAGTGTGCATGTATTGTGAACTAAAAAGCGTGATCATAGGTTTAGTTCACTCAATCACCCAAGCACTGGTGCATGAACCACATGTGTAGCCATGACATTCCACTGGATATAAAATGTCCCATTCTGCATTAGAGTATTGAAAACTAAATTGTCATCTTCAGAACTCTCGATGTATTAACTTCCAGGCCTCTTGTTTTACGGAGCCTTCTTTTAGCAACGACTTTCCACATGTGCAGAAAGATCCAAAATCAAACGACAAATGTTCGTGAGTGAATCACTACAGCTACCTAAAATCGGTGATAAACCACAAAGCTTTTATGAATATTCTTTTCAAGTTCATGTACGCCAGGAAAACATATCTTACGTTCCTTTCCTTTATAGGTTCATGTAAAGTTTGTTGGAAACATTATTTTTCTTTCGGTTCATAAGTTGGATAAAAACGTCTCTTGCTCTCTTCGATTTCCCTCTTCCCCGGGCTTACATTCTCAGACAGGTTTTACCCTTCACATAAAGAAAGTTGTGGATATGCAGGCATGCTGTGTTTCCGGCACATTTCTTTCATGAATAATGAACTGATATACAGGAAACTACGTTTATAACGAACTCGCTTATAACGAACTGACGGATATAACGAACTTACTTTTTGGTCCCGACTATTTTCTGTAGTTATGCTGTAGATATGCTTATAACGAACTACGGTTATAACGAACTAAAATTAGTGGTCCCTTTGAGTTCGTTATAACCGTAGTTTACTGTATAGTACATGAGCCAAAGTATATTTAGTTGACGTATTAATAGAACTAACAGTAGTGATAGTAGCTGTAACAACTATATGGTCACGACTTTGATTTACAGAAATACAATTATGATACATCAAATGCATTGACAAGTTTTCATTTCTTTTTTTGTGAAATGTAAAGGGCAGATTAAGTGCTTTTGAGATTTAGACTGTCAGAAGTGAACCCCAGAATGTACAAGAGCATGATATGTCCATGACTTGGACACTTATACATCTTTTTATCACGACATATTTCATAGTCTTAGGTTTTATGATATATGTTATTCTCTCTACCGCGTGGAGATATATTGGGTTGACAAAATGCAAAGAAGTACTTGTTCCCGATACCAGTCCTATCTGTTATTGCCCTCTACATAAATCATTTTGTTTTGTTAAATGCAACAGTATGCAAGACTTCTGGATTGTAGAGTTGTACTTATTTGAACGGGCATGTGTGATGTCCATTTCATGGCAAAATCCGAAAAAACATGAATCATGAATATACATGTAGATAGAATGTGGTTCTAAACACGTTTAGATTATGAACATATTTAGAATCTAACAACTTTGGATTCAAAAACTATTCTAAACAAGTTTAGGTTACAAACACACTTAGGAACCAAGATACGCTTAAACTATCGGCCAAGGGTTAAATAAAAGTGACAAAAGCAATGACCATAATAATAAGAAAAAAATGACTGTTAAAAGGAGAGTTTGTTGTACGATTCCGACTTCATCATTAGCATGGGTTTATGAATCACTACCAAACAGTGATGATACCAGCTGTTCCCGAAAAGGTGAGCACACCCTGCCTCACCGCTGGCAACCGTCACAAACACATGAAAAGCATTTACACATTTTACAGTGTAGAGAAAGTGTCCCCAACAAACATAAAGACAGGGATAGCTGAGATAATGAAGATAAAACAGAGCAAAATTAATACTTTTAGATTTATTCATTAGTTCTAGAAATGCGCGACATTGTTTCCTTTAAGTGTTCTGTATATACTAATTCTCACAATTTTCAGTCAACATTTCATCGTATTGAAAACTAACAATATTTGTTAGGACTGTATATATATATATATATATATATATATATATATATATATATATATATATATATATATATATGCAATGGCGGATAAAAGAACACTGTTTACTATACTGCCGGGCAAAGACAGTTGGCACCCATGTTTGTTTGATTGTGGCTAAAAATGAAACAAACAAGAAATGGTTATTCCATGGTGATATATTGGATACGGCCATCATGGTTTATATTCCATGCATCATATCAGTGAGTATCTCCCAACAGGCGACTATTTTCAGCCAACAACGTTTGTAATGTTTTGTTCCAATCCAGGTTTGAAGTGTATACATTCTTTTGTCTGACGTGATGAGCGAAGCGTAGACATGGCAATAAGCATTTGACATGGACATGGAATAAGAAAGAAAGAAAGAAATCTACGTGTCCCAGTGAAATAGACTAAAAGAATTCACAAAGATTCTTTCTAGCATACTCCCTTATTGTACAGAAATAAGTTTATATGTGAATCAGGACATTTATAAGTGACACACCTCTTTCCATAATCATGAAGTCAATTGTAGGATTCCGACCAAATCATAACAATATATTTGTGAATCACTATGAAATAATGACGACACCAGGTGTTCGAGAAAAGCAAAGATCATTGCATGGTGGTTATTTTGATCTGGAGGAATAACGTTATACAACGTTGGTGATATTCTCATGGAGAAGAACAGATTTCTAATTCGCTTGTGAAGACATGCTTCGTTTTAGAACCAATACAATCATGTACATGTCGTTCCACTGGATATTGCCTTACATATGTAGGTTTCAGGTTTACAAAGTAGAAACAATGTATGGATAAGAACTTCCTGAATATACGGTGTCACCCGTCAACTTCAAGGAAATGGAAAGGGGGAGAGCTGGGATTTTTGTTTGAGACAGAATACATTTCTGAGTCTGCGCTTCAAGACATACGAATTCGTTTGGAAGCACATTTACATGTAGAATCAGTTTCTTAAGGGCATACGAGGGTTACAATACATGTAAATAATGTGTATATACAAGATTGCGGATTTGGTAGACATTAGGTGCAATAGTTACAGAAATAATTTATATTTTTATATTTTTGATCGACAAACAAAGTAGAAATCATTTACAAACTAAGTGGAATTTTAATGGAAAGTAATCGCTCTCTTCTTGTTTGACTCTATCAAACATTTCAGTTGATGTTCAACAATATATTTGAAAGTAATTATTTTGTAAATCAGCGCCAGGCTTATTTACAGGGTATCTGGATGCAAACCAAATTATCATAATATGTAGCAATTGTTCTCTTGATATGAATAAAAAAGACAAAAACCAGTTCTATAATTTTATCAACAGCGACAAAACCCTTTCCATATTCATAGGACATCTCTGCCAAAAACAGTCCGGAATGTACGATTCCGACTATATCATGAGTATGTCCATTTTATTTTAAGTGTGTGTTCATGAATCACCATCAAATATGTGCGCTCCACATGTCTACCATAAAAAAAATTGTAACCCTGATCAAACATCTATTTAACAAGAAACGTGTGACGCTCTTTGAAAGCGATTGAGAAGGAGCATGGTCAAATATACCTCAAACGTTGGGAAATGTAGAGACTAGAGAGTGTTTTTGTCACTCTGAGGTTGTGTACAATAGATCTAAATACAACTGTGCTCATCGGAATGTTTACTTCTTGCCACAACTGTCTTATCCCCAATTGCACATACAAAAATTAAACAAAATCGTACCAATTTATAAGGTATGGTATTATTATAGTCATGTCTGTTGACCCATATCTTGTGTTACAGTATCTTGGAATGAGGTTCGATTCAAATGCTGTGCGACTTCTGGGCACTTGTATTGGGATGTTACAAACGGTAGGTACAGATAGACAAGGGGAGAGGGCATAGACACTATCTGATATAATTAATCATTTTCAAAATGATATAAAGTGCATCAGATTTGGGGAGATTCCCTATCACGGAGCAGTGGTGTAAAAGTGACAATACTACCTTGCATATTTCCAGTTAATCTACATGGCGATTGCTTTGCTTTCCCCTGGTCTGGCACTTCAGGCAGGTACGTACATCCGCTTTTGGTTTCCAGTTAAATCAAACTACATGTCACACCCCCTTGGGATGCCAGCATGGCTGAATCTAGATAGTTGTGCAAAAGGATAAATCGTCTTCTAACTGCAAGATTTGATGCATGTTATCACTTAAGGAAATATGTTCATAATCCATCCACATCAGTGGCACATACGATATCTTTATGGTTTATGTTTCGGTTATTTTTAGTTTTTTGTTTAATTTTCAGTGGCAGGGCTACCGCTGTGGTTATCCATTGTGATTGTGGGCATTGTTGGAACCATCTACACATCCATAGTGAGTACCATACATTTCTTATCCTTACTTTACCGTCTTCACGTTGTCAATTTGATCATGTTAATACACGATATGTGCATATGGATGGCATGCAAGTTCCTACCCATAGCCAAATCTGTCTTAATTGTGTGGAACTGATGTTGATCCTTTTGCAAGAAAATATGAATTTTGGATGCGTTGCCTTGTGCCAACTTGTGGGTAGTTGTTAGTACCAAGTAGCTGGTAATTAGTATCTATTCAATTGCCATACATGTGATTGAGGAGATACAAATACTGTGTTTTATTGGAGAGTTAGGTTACCTGCACATTTAACCATGCTAAAATGAATTTTATGAGTGAGTGTGTTAGGTTTAACGCCGCTTTTAACAGTATTTACAGTTATATCGCGGCGTGTCAGCTTTATGTGGGAGGAAAGCCCGAAGTGATGCAGGTCTCAGACGTTTACCACTTCGGTGAAACCCACGAGTACGGGTATGGTGCTGACAAACCTAGAAACATAATCGGGACGAACCGGGATTCGAACCCACAATCATAGGTTTCTGGCGCGCCCAAGGGACGCAACTCTGCACATCGAATCGCGGCGCCTTAGACGACTGGGCCACCAGTGCCCCCAAACTGAATTTGGAACCGAACGAATTTGGAATTTAGCGCGGTTAAATCTACAGGTAAGCTGGCTGAACATTGAAACACAGTATGTTTATTTCCATTCTACCATGACTAAATAAAATTCTAGCAAAATGATGTTAGCAATTATATTGAGTGAAGCGGCATGAGTCGAGTGTTACGAGTGGGTTGTAGATCAGAATTTACGGAATCAGCCTTTAAACAAATATGGCGCTCTATATGCTCAAACAGTTTGTTGTACATTTAATTATTATCGCCCTCCACGAAGTGGTGCGTGTAATATAGGAACGGAGTTCGTCCCGTCCGTCCGTTCGTCCGCTTCTCAATGCGAGTTAGAGAAATGAAATTTTACACACTAATGTTACTGGTCACGGTCTCAAATGAGTCCGAAAATTGACCCTTGTTCTGTGATTTTAATCTTAGTGCATACTGCGTGAAATTGGGACAGGTTTCCTCAGAATCTACTGACGTTACATGAATAAAACTTTGCAAGCTTATCTGAGAGATACATGAGTTCGAACATTGGTCCCATGAATTATGTTCTTACAGAGTTGCGACCCTTGATCCGTGTTATTTCACTTAGTGCAGTCTTCTCAGAACCAACTGAAGTTCCATGAATTAAAGTTTGCTTGCTTATCAAAGAGATACTTGTCAAGACTGATTTTGAAAGTTGGTCCCGTAAATTATTTGTTTATAAGTTACGCCCTCGGTCCATCTTAAGTAAGTTCATAGTGTGTGCAGTCGAGACAAGTTTTTTCAGAAACTTCTGTAGTTAGCTTATCTAAGAGATACTACACCGCGGCTGGGAAGGGGGATATGGCAGGTCAAACTTAACATCTGTTATATAGATTATTATTCCGAAGACATGATCAAATCAAACAACTGTTTTGCATGACATCATTGAGTTATTTTTCAAGAGAAGGGGCCTTTTATGTGTATTAATTTCTCATTGAATCATTTCTTCTAATGACTTAAAGCGGTCCAAGTGCATAGCTCTTCCTAAAGCTTATAGGACTCTTGTTTATAGTTTATATTCACTACAACTAAATCGTATGTTTCCAATAGGGATAGTGATAACTCTGTTTTCTTGTTTAAATATGCCAACCGACAATGACTGTAACTGAAGTAATATTAAAATAATATTAGCTTCAGCCAAATCGGCTGTTTCAATCAGAGGGGGCTTATTGCAATATGACTTCTGACTGACCAATCAAAATCGAGTATTTTCGAAACTCATCGTAGAATAAATGTTAAACTAAGTTCACATGAACCACACATAAAACATATCATGAAACGTTAACTGTTCTGTTACGATAGTTTATTGTCCAATGAGATGTATACAGTTTTAAATTTTATTGACTATTGACTTGATTGCCATAGCCATGTGTTTCAAGGATATACTGTGGTCAATAATCTGATTGTCTAACACTACAGGGAGGCATAAAGAGTGTGGTGTGGACAGACGTGTTCCAGTCCATGATCATGCTTGGAGGGATGCTGACTGCCATCGTTCTGGTACGTCCGTCTGGACGCAATAGATCCTCAGTACAGCATGCTTCTTGTACAAACTGATTGACGATGACATTGAGATGATCTGGTTCCAGCGCGAAATCTTGTTGGCTGATTTCCTGCATGTCATTTTATGCCAATGGTCTTGATATTTGCTCCTGCTGTCCAGCACTGGTGTAGGTCATTTTACAGGCCGTGACATGTCTTAAATATGGACTAAGCAATGAAAGAATACTCACAGTCTGATAGCCAACATCTATAACTTGTACAACCACCTGGAGGAATTTTTGTTTTTAAATAACACTGAATACGATCCTTTTACTTATGTTTAATGCCTTCAGAATCAATAGCAGGATAAATTAGGTGAAACTTTGCTGCTGTTCATCAATGCTAGGTTTGACTTTAGTCGTTAGGAGTAAATTATATGAGTGCCATTGCAGGTCACAATGGACAGTATCTTCAATGCTGTTTACAAGGCCAAAGACTTTGACGTTTGTCTTCGATCTGTATAAACATACATGAATATGAATGTATATGTTCATGTGACATACAGTTTTATACATTCCCAGTTACCATGCATACCGGTTCTTATGTTAAGCAAGATGATATACAGAATGCAATTACTATAATTGTAAGCCTTCTAAGCGTAGACGGAACATTCCGAAGAAATTGAAATTGTTTAGGAAGCGAGCACTTCCTAGTTACTGCATTAGTAAACGAACGCTTGGGTGCGGATGTGAACTACCGGACATAAAAAATGCCGCGATACGGGGTCCGAGTATTGAGTAAAGTTCATTTCTGCGTTTCAACGGGAATATTACTAAAAGCGTAAAACAAATCATACACGTTTTTCTCCCTCTAGACCTTAGGTCCAGGTTCGTTCCCCACAGGGGCATAATGTGTAAAGTCCATTTCTGTTTCTCCAGCCGTGGTATTGCTGGCATAATGCTAAAAACGACGTATTCTTTGACTCACTCACTCTTTTAGGGAATAATGAAGGCTGGAGGTGTGACGAAGGTAGCAAGAGTCGCACTGGACGAAGGGAGACTGCAATTTGATGAGTACGCACCAGCACAATAAGATAAAACAAACAAGGAATTCATTTTTCTTCCTTTAAGATTGCTATTCCCTTTGAAAGAATAGCCATTGAGACTTGAAGTGTGTGCCATCACTTACAGATACCTTTTCCCAATAGTATTTTATTATTGTTATATAATGTGTTCACAAGTGTATGTAATATTTAAAGTTTAACAGGATCAAGGATTGTAGATTACTATTTGCGTATTAAATGACCATCCGTGGACAACCACGGGGCAACCACCTGGCAACCCCTGGGCATAGTTGCAGCCCTTTCACAGTTACACATTGTATGCTTACCTACAACATTATGCTGACATATCGTGATATACCGTTCAAAGCTGCCCTTTCACAGTTACACATTTTATTTTTTCCTACCACATTATGCTGACATATCGTTATAAACTGTTCAAAGCTTCCCTTTTAAAGTTGAACATGTTATGCTTTCCTACCACATTATGCTGACATATCGTGATATACCGTTCAAAGCTGCCCTTTCACAGTTGCACATTGTACACTTTCCTACCACATTATGCTGACATGTCGTGATATACCGTTCAAAGCTGCCCTTTCACAGTTGCACATTGTACACTTTCCTACCACATTACGCTGACATGTCGTGATATACCGTTCAAAGCTGCCCTTTCACAGTTGCACATTGTACACTTTCCTACCACATTATGCTGACATGTCGTGATATACCGTTCAAAGCTGCCCTTTCACAGTTGCACATTGTACACTTTCCTACCACATTACGCTGACATGTCGTGATATACCGTTAAAAGCTGCCCTTTCACAGTTACACATTTTATACTTTCCTACCACATTACGCTGACATATCGTGATATACCGTTCAAAGCTGCCCTTTCACAGTTGCACATTGTACACTTTCCTACCACATTATGCTGACATGTCGTGATATCACTCATCAGCAATGCATATGATTTATGACTCATAAACATTAATTTACTAGAACAGATCCTGATCCGAGGGTACGGCATACAGTATGGGGACTTGTGGTTGGTGGTTTTTGTAACTGGTATGTCAGCCTCTTCAGTCAGTCAATGGTGCAAAGAATTTCTGCGATCGGAACACCGAAAGGAGCCAAAATGTAAGTGGGATTAAAAGCTTTAGTTTCGTTATCATAAATGACTGCCTACGGGCAATGAGTGGAGTAGAATGAACGTTCGCACTGTAGCTTTTTGTCATCTAATAATTACCTTGCTGTGTCCGAGGACCTAGAATTCCTTTGTTCAGAAATGCGTTCCTTTGGCCTACTAGAATCAGTTGACAGTAGGTATGAATCCAGATTGGCAGATATTATGATCATTGATCTGGCACCAGCATTCCCTTCCACATACACGTACGAACGCGTTATAAAATAACTCACCAACTCTAAGGTGTTAAAGGAATCAAGCATGGTGTGTATTTATTTATTTATTTATTTATTTATTTATTTATTTATTTATTTATTTATTTATTTATTTATTCTATTTCCGCATTATGTTCTTCTTCATAAGTTATGATATGGGATTTTGACTATCAGGAATATAGATAATTACCCACCGGTGCAGGTTTGTGTCATACGAATCCACTGAGGCAGTGTAATTAATTGCATCCAAATTCAAATCTGACACAATCGCCACTGTGAATTATGTACAAATTTGTGTCATGACAAATGCACATAACTACTTCCCTTTAAGACCACTGTGACGTGTGACGTGTCACTGGTTACCATGACGTCACAATCAAATGACATCACCAATGGCTCTGCTACTGAAGCTGTTAGCAGTACTTTTTACACACAGCTAATTACTGTCTACAAGTTGAAAAAGTTGGAAGAATGATATTGGATGATGTCTTTTGATATGAAATATATCAACACTCGTTGTTTAAAGTGCGAAAAATCCTCGGCAAGCCTCGAATTTTTTTCCACTTAAATCAACTCGTGTTGATATATATTGATATCTAAAGACACTCAGCCCTCAGGTGCGATTCTCTCCCTCTCTATGTATATATCACTGACGTGACCTTTGAGAATAAACCTCTCTCTCATGTTGTGATTATTTATATCTAGCAACTTTTTGTGTAACTGCCTTCACTTTAGAGCCTATCTCCTGAACATCCCGATGGTGATTGTGTATGGGTTGTTGCTTACCACGACAGGATTGGCTCTCTTTGGTTTCTTCCACGAACTTGGATGTGATCCCCACGAGGCGGGATACGTGTCTAATAGGAACCAGGTAATAATTTAGACACATATATGGTTATTGTGGCTGTTTGGCATCGTGCGGTCGTGTATCGATACAAAACCATATTTCAAACGGAGCACACGTGAAGTGGCATGAAAAAGAGTAATTTGTTATTCTCGTGATAATACATGATGTCTTAGGCAATAGTTGATCTGCTCTGTGAAACACGCATGTTCTCCAGAAAGCAATATGAATGGTCGAATGATAATGACTTGAGAGGCTAGGAAAATACAGAATTGTCTGGTGGGTCTTTGGCAATGGAACTAACATCGGAAGGTGTATTTTCTAACACTGACAATGTGGTTTTCTGGTAGTGTTCGCTTGAGAAAAACACAACGGATATATAATATCGTGATATGTGTATTCTACTTACAATAGAACTGTGGGCATCCGCGATTCGCTGTGCAGAGTTACGTCCCATGGGTACACCAGAAACCTATGACTGTGGGTTCGAATCCCGGTTCGCCCCGATTATGTTTCTAGGTTTGTCAGCGCCATACCCGTGCTCGTGGGTTTCACCAAAGTGGTAAAAACATGCATCACACTTCAGGCTTTCCTCCCACATCAAGCTGACACGCCGCCATATAACTGGAATACTTTTAAAAGCGGCGTTAAACCCAACTCACACACTGCTGTCTCAGATGCACGTTCTCTTTGTAGTTGATGCCTTACTTCATGATGAACCTGTTGTCATCATACCCAGGAGTGACTGGTCTTTACATGTCCACCCTGTTTAGTGGGGCGCTCAGGTATGTGTTGAAAGAAAGACGGTTGGCGATTAAAATAGGTACTAATTATTGATTATGTAACATAGACCCGTGAAGATCCCGGGTAGATTGCAACCCATGCTTGCTGTAAAAGGCGACTTTATGGCGCCCTTTGAAATCTTGAAAGAAAATGCTCGATTGTACCTCAAACGTTCTGAAATGTTGACACCAAGGGCTGGTGGAGCTGCAGGATTAGTATTTCTCGACATACAGGGAAAGTTGACTATTGGAAAGTTGAAGTCATCTCTCCTGTCATAAAGTCTTGTGAAGAGTGTTTTGTCAGTCCGAATCTTTATGCATAGATCTTAATATGAAACAGACGAGGCGGTCTCACTGGTCTTCTTTGTTACTGGTTCAGGTGGGTATATCAGTGGAAGGGAATTAGCTATTTGATGGTTATTGAGCGATATTAGATCACGAATATACCTGAATCTTAAGTTGAATTTCTTGGACAAATTACTTTGTTTTGGCTTCGCCAATCCGCGCAAGAATTTCGCTAACTAAGTGTATATACACTGGCTGGACTCACCTGTGATCCAACTTGTGACCACACCAACAATCAGCGACACCAGGAACCCAATCAAGCCGTACCACACGTACGACACATCATATAGGTAGAATGACACTGCAGACCACAGCATATGTTGATCCATATTTATGCATAGTCTACTCCTGAGTGCGGCGTTAAACAACAAACAAACAAAACATACCCCTGGAAATACAATATAAAGCACAGTAAACCAATGTCCTCTTCAATAAATTCAACGAGGCATATTGTTTTTTTGTTCTTGTTGTTTTCTCAGCACGCTGTCCTCCGGAATCAACGGTTTAGCTGCCAACACTGTTGAGGATATTCTTCGACCGTGCCTTCAAAGGAACAGAACTTCTGATCGCGTTGTGACAAAAATAGCCAAAGTGTTAGGTAAAGGAATTGGACCATCACACACACACACCGCGAACGTTATAGAAAAATCTGTGATCGTTGAAACATTTTCTCAATATTTACCAATGGACTATCAGTTATATTTGCAACGTGTAACCATTACCAGTGTAATGGAATCTAGCGCAAAATAAGGTACTTTTATTATTTTTGTCTTGTGTGTTAACACACCCGACACCAGGTACATGTAAATGCAGAATGGAATTTTGAAAATCAGTGTCTAATCTGCAGACTTGTTTTAAGCAGTAAAACGTCACCAGTCTTTCACCTTAACGCCAAACGTCAATACATTGACATCCACTTCTTTGATAGGTATTTAGAAGTTGGAGTACTAAGTAAAGATAAGATTTATGGATGAACAACTTCTTTATTACAAGTAAGAGCGACGTTTCGGTGTACACATGTAGGTTCTAACCTATCACTTGCTTGATAACGGTGTTAGAACCTACACCGAAACGTCGCTCGTAATTGTAAATTAAACAAAGAGGTTGTTCGTCCATAAATCTTATCTTTACTTACATGTACATTAACATCCAGTCTGAATTGTTTATATAGGTAAGGTAAAGTTAATTCCATGTATGACAGGAATATACAAGGTGGAGTACATGTGTTTTAAGTGTCGCATTGTGGAATACCACGGTTAGTTATCATGCAGAGAGAGCGACAAAATAGTATCTCTTGTCTCACACTGTTGGCTGAATGCCATAGACTTATCTTCCAGTGTTTGTGTATGGCTTACTGGCGATTGGCCTGGCTTATGCTGCCGACTCAATGAAAGGCCCTGTGTCACAGGTAGGATTAAAAAGTGGAAAGATTACAATACAATTGTATATCCTATTCATGTATTTCAGACATTCTTGACATTCTTGAGTGAACAAACTTATATAATAGGGAGAGTTTGGTTATTGCTGCTGCCACATATCATCTGAGTTTTTAATATAATAAGTTTATTCTGCATTGATCATGTGTGATTAATTATTTACGGATTTCACAATTTAGTACCGTACAGAACGATATCTTAGTTTAACCTTCGCGTTTCAACTTCAGAAGCAACGCATGTATATCTGCGTATATATGTGTATATCTGGGTGTATATGTGTATATCTCAATATATGCGTATATCGGGGTGTATATGTGTGTATCTGCGAAGGATATTAAATTATGTTCACTAAATATTATTTCAAAGTCTCAGAAACATTCTTGGTGGGTTCCACTTGGCAGGGCTTCCGGGAGAAGTCCCATTCGCTGTCTGGAATGAGCGTAGATGGGGTAAGGGGCCCTGAGCTGATGATAAACCTAACCAGCCCATGTGTCCCTCGTTCGGTTTTACATCACCCGCCGATGAAACGCATCAAACCCACGGTACCCGGAGTGATCCTGCTACAACTCATAATATACGCCTGTACACATATATACGCAGATGTACACATATATACGTATATATTCGCAGATAGGACAGAATATGTACCGATAGTTGCATAGTTGTAAGGTATTTTATAACATACAATGGCATAATGCTGTGAATGCCTTTACCATATTTATATTTCAGTCTTCCCTAGCAGCCTTTGGTGCTACCGGGGGTCCTCTTCTTGGAATGTTTCTCTTAGGAGCTTTGATTCCATGGACCAACAGAATGGTAACACAAATCCTACATTAGCGTTCTGAAGTATAAAGGGGGTGGCCCATTCGTCTAAGGCGCAGCGATTCGCTGTGCAGAGTTGCGTCCCTTGGGCACGCCTGAAAAGTATGATTGTGGGTTCGAATCCCGGTTCGCCCCGATTATGTCTCTAGGTTTGTCAGCACCATACCTGTACTCGTGGGTTTCACCAAAGTGGTAAACGTTCTGAAACCTGCATCACTTCGGGCTTTCCTCCCACATTAAGCTGACACGCCGTGATATAACTGGAATACTGTTAATAGCGACGTTAAACCCAACTCACTCAGTCACTCACTCTGAAGTATAAACGTGTAAAAATAATGCTATTGATCTCAGTCAATTAATATTGGAGCTACATGAGCCCTGTTAAATCGATTCTTGGCCTGTCAAAACAGTGAATTAAAGCATCAGCAAGGCACCATGTCATCGGGTTACAATGAGACATTATCAGTCTAGTCACAGAGATTGACCAGGCGATCAACTGAAGTCAACAGTTGAATTCTTCGGATTTCCCACTGATAGGGGTCACGGGTGTGGTGCACACACACACTACACCGGGGCAGGGAAGGGGGACAATGCTGATAAAACTTAACATATAAATACGCTTCAAAAAGAGAAACTATACATCAGGATTGCAACTCGCCATGGGTTTATTTTACCAGTTTAGATTTCATGAAATTTATAAATAGTCGAATGTGTAGCTAAATTATTGATGTGCAATATGCACTTAACAAAAGCAGGTGCAAAGACGTCCGGGGTAGCTGGAATGTCAGTAACGATTATGGCCTCCTCGAGCTGCTATCACCTCATTGCGGTGACTGCCCATAGACGAATGAGTCCGAATGAAAGCCCGGGGATGTTCTGCCACTCCTACTCTAGCGCCACCAACAGTTCCTGAAGTGTCTGTGGCGCTGGTTGACCTTCCAGCACATCCCACAGATGTTCAATAGGGGACAAGTCTGGCGAGCAGGCAGCCCAGGGTAGCGTAATCACGTTGTGCAAACTCTGTGCAAAAACGTGCGACGAGGGGTCTGGCGTTGTCTGGCTGAAAGATGCCGCCATTGACGTTGATAGAGGGGACAACGTTGCGCTGCAGCATCTCGTCTCGGTAGCGTAGACCATTCAGAGCACCATCCACTCTCACAAGGTGCTGTCCGGCCTCCGTGATGGATGCCTCCCCACACCATGACGCTTCCCCCTCCAACACGATGCAATTGCTGAACGCAGTGTTCAGCGTAACGTTCGTTAGGACGTCGGTACACACGGGCACGTCCATCAGCACGTCTCAGCAGAAAACGGGACTCGTCTGTGAACCGAACACGTCTCCGTCTTGCTTGAAACCATGTGACTCTCTGACGACACCACTGCAGAAGTTCACGGAGGTGATGCGGCGTCAGGATGTTCGCACTGGTCGCCTAGCTAGAATACCTGCTGCTTTCAGACGATTTCGAACAGTCTGATCCGATACGCAGTTCCGGTACATGTGAGGCTGTTGACGTCGCCATGATGAAACAGACCCGCAGGTCTCGTAGCCGGATGTAGCGATCTTGGCCAGGCGTTGTAACGCGAGGTCGTCCTGACCTTGTCCTGTCACGAACGTTGCCGGTGGTGTTGTAACGTCTCCACAAGTTAGAGATGGTCAATCTGGACACAACCATCACCTGCGCCACATGGTGTTGTGTTTCACCCGCTTGCAGTCGGCCGATGGCGTTGTTGCGTTGTGCTTCTGATAGACATTTTAACGGCTCGTTTTCTGATTTTCTGATGTGTATGTCAGCAGTCATTGTTTTGGTCTTTTAAACCTTGCTGACAGAGGATTTTGTCACGACAGTTCAGAAAATTGCATGCTGCACGTTTATGGCATTGCAGCTGCGTTTGGGCGAATTGCTCCGTCGCGACGTCACAACATTACGTTTCGGGCAATCTGCATGTTTACTCGAACATTTAATAAAAATTAACGATTACTTAAGAAATAACATTAAATTTCTACCATACAAAAACGATCGGGTCCGCTGTCATCAAATTTATGCATGTATAGAGTGTTTTTTTCAAGAGTATAGATTCTTGTCGAATAGAGATAATAAAATCAAACAACGTTTTTGCATGACATTATTTTCGAAATGTAACACAAATGTTTGACGATGTTTCAGGGAGCTTTGTGTGGTGGCGTTATTGCCCTGGTGCTCAATATGTGTCTCAGCGTTACTGCACAACTGTATGGACACCAAGCCCCTACACTACATCCGGCGCCATCTTACGCATGCGCAAATAACAGTGCAATGGATAACGGAACACTATTTCCCATGTACACTAATGGCAGCACCGACCATGAAGTAACTTCCATGGCACCTCCACAAAGGTAGGAAAATATATGTTGATATGTTCTACAAACTGTTAAGAAGCATGGGGTTTGCAGAATAGGAAATTGTGTCTATCTTGACCATACACCGAATTACTGGATTACAGCGTAACATGTTACTCACTCATTCTGGAATAACCATAATGAGCGCCTTTTGGGTAGAATGATTGTGTTTTAGGTGCAATTAATTTCTGTAAATTGTCATTGTAATGTTAAAATGGAAAATGTTTCACAAATGCTTTCAAACATAAAATATTTCTCCTGTGTTTACGAAAGAATCGTTGAATAAACAAATTGTATGAAGAATTTTACTGAAGTGTTCCGTTCCAAACATCGATCGAAGTGTTCATGATGCTGAAACCTCTTTGCGGTACAAGGCCCGACCTGGTAGGATACATTGTAGTTTTAGTTTCTCTCGCGTAGGAATTCCTGGTAGGAATATAGGTCCACGGCAGCCTTATCGCCTTGTAAGCGACTAAATGGGTTGGATGATTAGGCCGGGTGACTTGATGGAGTGCATGTCATCTCATCCCAATGTTCATGAGGTCAATCACTGGATTGTCTGGTCAAGACACGATTAATTACAGTCCGCCGCCACATAGCTGGAATATTGTTGAGTGCGGCGTTAAACAGCAACCTAACGACTACTATTCTTTTCTATCTGCAGTAAAACAGCCCCAACGTTTCACATCTACGATCTCTCCTACTGTTGGTACGGGGCCACAGGCATGGTGATTGCTGTCGTTGTTGGGGTTGGGGTTTCGTTAATAACAGGTTTGTAACAAGCGGATTTAGTTGAGTTTGAATTTTCTTTCACAAACGCGTGCAAAGGATCGGGTCCAAGTTATCACAACTTAGAATACCCCTCACAAAAACACAATTACAAATACTATAGTTCATCAATAATTATAAAAGTACAGAAGGGTTCATTAAATAAGAAGAATTATTTATAATAATAACTTAATAATTATTCTTCTTATATGTTTTCTCCTATTACTTTGATTAATATAGCTTCAGGTATATTGTTTGCAAATGTGGTCAACAAAATTTGATGCTAAAAGTGCATGTGTTAGTGACGGGTGCTACCGTCGGGCAGGATACGCTCACCTTTTAGCGAACACCTGGTATCATCACTATTTGATAGCGATTCATTAATACGCGCTTAAGATGTCGGAAAAGTTGAATTGACTGTTTTTGCAGAAATTCCCTTCAGAGGTTGCTCTTTAATTAATCTTTAGAGATTGCTTTTTACGCCAAATAAAATCTGTTTCGGCGAATTATAACAGGCTATTCCTGGTGTTGACGTTCTATATTATGATGATGACGGTTTTGTCGTTATTATTGTCTATTGATTCAGATCCAAACTGATTCATCGTACTTTCTGAGGCAACATGTTAAGCACAAGATTCCACACTACTAAGGTTCTGAAAGTGATATCCCGATGGGCGGATCTGTGTTTTCTCAGCTTCACTTAATAACCGTTGTCATCCCAGACATACATTCCAATGAAAGACACAGATATACTTTAATACAAAAAGGGAGATCAAATCTGTGATTTATACCTGTACTTTACCTGTCTCTTTAAACCCCAGGTCGCCGGGACCCTGAAACACTTGACCCACAGTTGGTATTTCCTTTCGTAAGAAAACTGTGTAACCTGAAGTCACGAAGTGCGACTGTTGACGCCGAGAATTATAAGGAAGTTTCGGTAAGTTCTATAAAAAGGCAGGGGTAACGCTTTGATAGCGGGAGGATTGGATGGGTGGTGCAGTGTGTGTGTGTGTGTGTGTGTGTGTGTGTGTGTGTGTGTGTGTGTGTGTCCATCTTTTAACGTCTTTTGGTATGGTGCGACCGGGGATCGAAAGCCGGACCTACCGCTCTCCAGTCAGACGCTCAACCGCTAATAACACGGAGGCGGTCTTGAGAGCAATGGCGTCAGGGTGTTCGGTACAGGTCTATCGTCCGCAACGCTTTGCACAGCCCTTGAGTAAACATCCATGTCTTTGTACAATGCTACATCCCAAGTGATGTCGTCAGCAGTGCAAAACGATCTTTGTCATAGATGAGATCAGATACACTGAATTCCTTAGTAGATAGTTGTAGAGCCAGTGAACTGGAACGAATATCATACAGGAGATTGTCTCTGACAGGGGGTAACTACGTCGACGATAAAGCCTTTTGATCCCACCTTGTACTTTTATCTCCTCGACACCTATGATATATGTCTTTCTGAAGGATAGTGGCCTCACTGTGTGTCACACACGCACCCACAGGATTCATAGGATATCAGTCAAAAGGTAATAATTAAATTTTCGTTGTGTTCATGGAAATTCCTGCATTCTGATTAGCTGAATTGGTCACATGTTATTGCATTCATTTCCCAATGAATGTAAAAAATTAAGCCACGCCCACCGCGGCGCACTACTTTTATTACTTCGGAATGTCGGGGAATCCAAATATTACAGTCGAGGGAATTCCCTTTCTGCTCACGTGTATCGTCATGCACAGGACATTTAACGACTTTCATGCATATTCATTGTCCAAACTACCCTTTGAAACCGAAGGCCGAGAATGAATGAAACAGCAAACGTGCAGGCTCGCTCGCCTGTTTTTTCCCGCTTCGGGTTTCATTTATAACTAGCATTTCTCCAACTGTGATTTACCGTAATGAGGGAAGTAATGTTTGAATCACGCAGTAAATGACCATGTTATTTGAAACTGCCGCCTTCTCTCGGACATATTTCTTCCGGTTCGTTACAGTCTGACTGTTGCAGTTCTTTTCGCCTCTTGCCTTATTTGACAGGTCAAATGAACATTGTTTTAATCTCACTCTCCGTTGATTGGCTACTGACTGTGTAGGCGTGTCAAGTTATGTGCATAAATTAAACGATCACCTGATTCATGTCACGCCACTGTATGTATTCCTACACCTGGAATGTTTATCAATGTCGTCATTTTTGTCTGTTTTGATATATGCAACTGTTTTGGGTTAAACTATTGTAGATAAAACATGCTTTACGTTGTCGAATTTAATTATAAGCATTGACTGTATATTTTTTTCGGTTCATTGAGGTATGAATCGAAAAGCCGATGTGCAAACTTTTGTAAGAATCCGCTACGCGGATTCATACAGTTTGCACATCGGCTTTTCGATTCATACCTCAATGAACCGAAAAAATACACAGTCAATCCTTAAATGACTCCTTTGGTGACTGTCAGTAAATCCAGATTTGAATCCAGCTGTAAAGCTCCAAAGACGCAAAATGTTCACCCAACTGAAAACAGTTGGAGATGATCGTACCGCAATTCTGCCTTAAACCATCAATGACCTGGTTAACTCAATGTTGCAGTTGTCGATGAGATGCCTTTGCAACTTCTGTGATTAAAAAGAGGGTTCGAGGGGGAGATGGTATAGACATCTGAATTAATTCTGAATGTCACCCTACCAGTGTTGGGTATTATTATGTACTTACGGAAATACTGATGGTATCATGTAAATACTAGTAGATGTTGTCACAGGCACATATATGGCTCACAAAAACTGGTACGGCAACCAGTTTTGTCAAACACCTGCATGCAGGCAGCAAATCTTCAGTATGTGAATAATCTCCTTCGAAAGTAATGGAAGGCGGTGTGTGTGTGTGTGGGGGGGGGGGGGGGGGGGTGAGCGCTGTGTGTATTTGTATTTCTTTGAACACCAAAGTTGTGAATTTGTGTGTGTGTTTGTGTGTGTGCTGTTGTTGTGTTTTATGTGTGGGGGACGGGGTTGGGGTAAATTGTTTTATTGTATTTCCTATTTATCACAGTGTTTCAATTATTACTAGCAAAATCTTGTCCCATAGATACTGTGTGTCTGTTGTCTGGAATATTTGAATTTCGATAACATGCCAGTACTGTGTAGATAATTTCTATAGAGAGCAAGACCAGGATCACATGACATGTAGCTTGTTGTGAAACTGGGTGCTTTATCTTCGTGATTTTGTTTCAGATGGAAGGCGCATCGTGTGAAGTGGAAAAGGATGATGCATGCAAGACTCGACAGCATGTCCCCTCCATCGAGACTCGCTTTTAAGTTACTTTTGTTTGTTGTTTAACTGCATACAATATTGTCGTAAGAGGCGACTGATGGGATCGGGTGGTCAGACTCGCTAACTTTGTTGATGCATGTCATCGTATCCCAATTGCGTGGATCGGTGCTTATGATGTCAATCACTGGATTGTCTGATCAAGACTCGATTATTTACAGACCGCCGTCATATAGCTGGAATATGACTGAGTGCAGCGTTAAACAACAAACAAACGAACAAACTGTTTACGTCATGTGTTGACAAGGCAATGTTCACGGATTTTATTGATAATGTGCACGAACAAATACAAGATTTCAAATATTTTCTAATCTCCACAAGTGATTACTGTTCGGTTAGTCAATGCATAGCACTGATACGTGTCCGGTTTTGGTTCAAGTATCTGTGGTAAATGTAAATTTCTATTCAATTCGGACCGTCTCCGTGGTCTAATGGTTGGGCGTCCGCCCGGAGAGCGGAAGATCCGGGGTTCGATCCCTTGCCGCGTCATACCAAAAGACGTTAAAAGATGGTACTTGTTGTAACCCTGTCTGGCGCTCGGCATTAAGGGGCTAAAACAAGGACTGGTGGGCTCGGAGTCAGTATAGTGTGTCAGAGTGGGGCATTCATTTTCAACTGAGGCATGTTATCCCAGTGAGCTAGCACTATAAATCGGCATCAGTCCGGACTAGTACAAGCAGCCACACAAACACACACACGCACGTGCATGCACTATGATTATATAAGTGCAATAATCTTGGACGCGACTTTAAAACCCATTTCACCTCACCTCTATTCAATTCGGGGGAGAACAAGTCAACGCATTGAAAACAGCAATTCCCTCTCTTCCTTTCATTGCCTCGATAGTCGTATGGTTATGGAAGATGTTTCACATTTTACGCCGGCCTTCTTAGATCAAGTTGCAAAAAACAACAGTAAGTGTTCACGCATATTGTGGACGCTTACAAGGACTAATCTATGTTAAAATTCGTATGTAGCGAGGTGTAATTCCACATATAAGAAGAGGTGGACCATTTCTTTTCAAATCACTGACGGGGGCTTTGGGTAGCTAGGTGGTTAAAGCATTTGCTCGTTACGCCGAAGACCCGGGTTCGATTCCCACGAGAGTACAATGTGTAAAGCCATTTCTGGTGTCCCCACTATGATACTGATGGAATACTGCTAAACGTGACGTTAAACCATACTCGCTCGCTCACTCAATCAAACAACGAACAACAGATGTGAATAAACGTTATAAACATCGCATTTACCAATTATGACACATACCTAACATAAGGACAGTGACATATTATTACATTAAATTCATTTAAATACCACATTTTACGAAAGTAACCCCACACGAAGGTGTTTACATTTCACTCAGTGTAGTTTACTATTTTATTTTTTTAGTGATCCACTCATATAATTCTGATAATCCATTCATATAATATTCACGGCTTTCTTGCCTTTTTAGCCCAATGGAATATGTTTCCGTCGATATTCGAGACTGGTTATGCGCAATGACTGCAACATGTTCTGCCTTTTAGAATGTACAGGGGGGCACGGGTGGCCCAGTCGTCTAAGGCGACGCGATTCGCTGTGCAGAGTTGCGTCCCTTGGGCACGCCAGAAACCTATGATTTTGGGTTCGAATCCCGGTTCGCCCCGATTATGTCTCTAGGTTTGTCAGCACCATACCCGTGCTCGTGGGTTTCACCAAAGTGGTAAACGTCTGAGACCTACATCACTTCGGGCTTTCCTCCCACATTAAGCTGACACGCCGTGATATAACTGGAATAATGTTAAAAGCGGCGTTAAACCCAACTCACTCACTCACTCACTCACTCACTCACTCACTTGAATGTACAGACCTACTCTCTCAATAACATTTACGACACTGATATTTCTTTTTAAGTGAAGTAGACAACGGGAATGAAACAATGACTATCCTCATAAATATAATTATACCATTTGTGAAACTTATGAAGGTGAAGATATACAAGTCAATTAGAATAGCAGTTGGCACCAAGACGTGTCATTTCAATTTTTGGAACCACTTGTCCAATGCAGTTAGACTTCAAAACAGAAAGTTGAATACCCGACGCCTTTGGGTTTATCAACTCGCAGAACCTGACTACACGATCCATTTTGTCGCTTCCAACCACACGCAATAGGGAGTTGAGACATTTCTCTCACACGGATCCCCACTGCGTCTGGCTGACTTCTGAAGGTGAAGTGGTTTCGAGATGGAACCAAGAATGATTGAGTGAGGGTGGTCGCTGTTTTTAAATAAATTCCAGCAAGATCACGGCGGCATTTGGGGCTACCGGTAGGGAACCAAGAATGAGTTAGTGGGGATGGTCGCTGTTTTTAACAATATTCCTGCAAGATCACGGCGGCAATTGGGCTACCGGTAGGGCAGGACATGCTTACCCTTTTCGCGAACGCCTGATCTCATTACTGATTTTCAGTAATTTCCACAGCTATTTGCCCTTTACAAGTGGAATCTGTTTCGGCAGAAAATCTAGGCTGGTTATTCTCTTACATAGACAATTCATATTCACATGTTGTATCCATCTGGGTAAGAGAACTCCTTCGGCGTAACAAGCCAATATTTAGTCACTCGAACAGCAAAAAAATGTAGGTTTCCGTTATGCGGAAACCTTCGGGAAACCTTCCGGATACCTCCTGGATACCTTCCCACTTTGGATCCGGCCCAGATACCTTCCGGAAACCTTAAAAATTAATGTCAAAATTTGTGGGTGCATTTTGTTCACTTAAGTGTGAAACAAATAAAATAATTATCTGAAAATTACCCAGAAATTTGAAGGTTGCTGAAGGTTTCCGGATTTGGTTTGGTTTGTTGTTTAACGCCACACTCAGCAATATTCCAGCTATATGACGGCGGTCTCTAAATAATCGAGTCTGGATCAGACAATCCAGCGATTCATATCGTGAGCATCGATTCACGCAATTGGGATCAATGACATGCATCAACCAAGTCAGCGAGCCTGACTTGTGGTAATTTCTTCACAATACTGTCTATGAGAGATGATATAATGTGAAGGGGTATGTTTTGTTTGTTTGTTTGTTGATAAATACCGCACTCAGCAATATTCCAGCTATATGACGGCGGTCTGTATAAATAATCGAGTCTGGATCAGACAATCCAGTGATTCATATCATGAGCATCGATCCACGCAATTGGGATCAATGACATGCATCAACCAAGTCAGCGAGCCTGACTTGTGGTAATTTCTTCACAATACTGTTTATGAGAGATGATATAATGTGAAGGGGTATGTTTTGTTTGTTTGTTTGTTGATAAATACCGCACTCAGCAATATTCCAGCTATATGACGGCGGTCTGTATAAATAATCGAGTCTGGACCAGACAATCCAATGATTGATATCATGAGCATCGATCTACGCAATTTGGATACGTTGACATACATCAACCAAGTCAGCGAGCCTGACCACCCGATCTCGTCAGTCGCCTCTTAGGGCTCACTGACACATCGTCCTTGATAGGACCATTCCCGATTAAAATTTGTCAAAAGTCTGATCAAGATCCTGTGATTCGTGGCGGGAAATTCGCAAATTTGTGAAAACATTTATTGAATCACGACCTCAATCACATATGGTTCAGGAAGCGTCCCGATTCAGCCGTTTCCAGCCGAATTCGTCCCGATTCTCCCGTTCTCAATCCGAATCTGATCCGATTAGTATCTTCCACATGGTAAAAAACTACCAAATCTGTGCCGACAGCGCCCCGATTCTCCCGAATGCGATCCGACAGAGATCAGACAGGGAAACGACAGTGAACCGACAAAGACGGTTCGCATTCGGCAAGATCTGGACTCAATCGACGAGCAACGGCTAATTTCTCCAAATCAGCGTCCCGACCCACAGGGCACCGTCCAGACAACACAGGACAGCAGAATCTGTCACGACATAGTCACGACATAGCCACGACATAGACACGATTGTAATCCGACTAGACAAAATCGTCTGAGTTTCCCGAATGTTTGGCTGCGTTCACAAAGTGGCGATTAGGGCTCCCGTTTGAGATCAGACAGCGCTACGACACGAAAAGTGAAAAAGTCGGATTACTATCTTCAATGATCTGGAATGTCTGAACGCAGTCGTATACCTTAGTATTACTCCCGACTGTTTGTTGCGTCCCGTAAGGGCTCAGTCACAAATTCAGGATTTTTACTGCCGTCCTTGATAAAACAATTCCTGATGAAAATTCCCGATCCGCAGGACTTTGTAACGAACGTATACGAAGGTATGTTAGTTTTGAAACATGCCGAAATGAGATTGCATGTAGAGCACGACTTTTCAATACTCATGATTATGCATGATCTAAAGACACTGTTGCATGATGTGTCTGGGAAAGGGTGGCAGTAATAATGGTGCTCTGAACAGAGGCCGACATTCAGTTCCAGCAAAAGGACAAATATCTTTTGGGACAGGACCACTGTCTGTATTTAATAAGCTGAATTGTATGTATGCATGGTCACACGACTCGTGACTTAGCATTTTGAAAAAAGCACAGACATAGGGAAGATACAAACATGTTTGTAGGTCACTTTCCAGTGAATGCAGATATCTTCACCTGAGAGGTTGGTGTTCTACATATCTATGGCGGCAGCAGAAACATTGGGAACCGTGGACTATGTCGTCCTTTGCATCATGCTGGGTATTTCCCTGGGAATTGGCATCTTCTTTGCTGTTCGTGAAAAGGACACAAAGGAAGGCTACTTGCTGGGAAACAGACAAATGGGTGCCTTCTCCGTGGCTGTGTCGATGTTTGTGACTCTGGCATCAGCCATTTCACTACTCGGTGTGCCTGCAGAAATATACACGTTTGGGTCAATGATGATGTATCAGTATGTATCTATGACGTCGGTGTATATTGTTGGCATGTATACGTGTCTCCCTCTGATGTATCCTCTCGGAATCACTAGTGTATATGAGGTACGTGTACCTGACGCTAATGAACACATCCATGTTTCCGATCCCACAAATATATGTAATGGAGAAAACATGTGAATTTGTTGTTTGCGGCGGTAACAATCAACGAGACTCAAAGGGTTGAGTTTATTGTACTTCCGGAATCAACATATTCGAGTAATTTCTCCGCCTTAAAACCATGTTATGGCTGATGGACTAATTTCTCTAGAATTATGCATTATGCATCAGTTTTACGTGTAAAGTGCACGTTTCGAATGGCCAGTGCATAATATAAATAATGGAGAAATCATGAGAATCTGTAGTTTGCGGCAGTAAACATCAACGAGACTCAAGGGTTGAGTAAATTTCACTTCCTGAATCAACAGATTCGAGTAATTTCTCCTACTTACAACCATGTCATGGTTGATCTTTTAATGACTCTAGCATTTTCCGGTACGACATATTGGTTGCGTCAGTTTTACATGTTAAAATGCACGTTTCGAATGGCCATGGTATTTCTGGCTCAGAATCAACTGTATCAACGATAGTGTGACGTCATTATAATGGTTTGAACACTAAGAACCCGATCGTCTCATGGCATCAAACAATTCAACACGAGTCAAGTAAATTAGCGAACGTAAAACTTTATGTGAATGTGTTCAATACTATATGCCTCAGGCCAAAATAAAAAGGGAAGAATACAATAACGTATTTTCCTTCTGAGTGCATATTATTCATAACATAATTTTGTTGGTTGATACAAGGTTAAGTATTTCGTATTACTAAGACGTTACATTTAATAAACTGAACATTTTCCGCCAATGTGATCCCCATAGCAGTCTCAGTTGTCGAGAACATGAGATGATTAGGGAAACATTCTCTTCTCACTTGGGAATATCGTTCACAGAAAAGTGGCTTTCCAATAAATCATCACTAAACAACGGAAATGTATTTCCAAGTAAATAGTAGTAAATTCAAACCTCAAGCTAACGCTAAAGTCAATCAATCAATGCTGATCAGAAAAGTAACATATCCTTCTGAAATCTTAATCTCACACAGTTTATATCTTCTACATAACACATTGGAATTGAATCCAATTACTAATATTTGTAACGCTGTTTCAACAGTAAAATGAGCACATTCATCTAACCAAAAATTTTATTCTTCGATATGATGTCTAAACTATTCATATCCATTGTTGATGTGTGGGGGGAACTGGTGACCTAGTTGTCTAAGGTGCCGCAATTCGCTGTACAGAGTTGCGTCACTTGGCACCCCAGAAACCTATGATTGTGGGTTCGAATCCCGGTTCGCCTCGATTATGTTTCTAGGTTTGTCAGCATTCACGAAAGTGGTAAACGTCTGGGACCTGCATCACTTCCGTCTCTCCTCTCACATTAACCTGACACGCCGTTTAACGACTAAAATACTGTTAAAGGAAGCGTTAACCCAACTTACTCACTCCCAGGTGTGTTATAGTGCCATGGAAGTTGTGAGGGACTCGATGTAGCTCTGCGTAAAGTATGAACATGAGAATGAGAACGTGTCTTAGCTTACACAGTTTATTCACATTAAAAAGTAGTGCCACAAGGCTCTGAAGCTCACCTGAATTATGATGAAATAATAACGGACAAGCTTAAACTTTGATAGGAATTCTCTGAAACCTTTTTAGAGCCAACACACCTTGGATAGGTTTTAACTCCATAGGCCTTGTAATTTCAGGAGAGATGTAAAGCATGCAATAACATTACAAATGGGGTTGCGTGAAGGTCAAAGGTCGTAGATTGATCAAATATCCCAGTATGATCCCCCAAAATGTTATAATTATGTTATGCCATGTTATACCATATTATGTGTTCATGTTTTAATGTCAGCATTGCTGGTATCATGTTTACAAAGTCAGATGGAAACGCACAACAGCGTAATCCAACTTTGGTACATAGGTAAACATAAACATAGTATTACACAGGTTGTGATTAATGTACCAAATCTTACTCTAGTTCAAGATAATTTACTTTTCTTCTTGACTAGTTCAAAATAATGATTACAAAATACATAGTTTTTAAAAATTAATTGATGAAATAACCCCCCATAGATGTATATGTATTTAAAAACGACTTCCTCTCCACCCCGAACTTCGACCTGACTGAACTAGACATTCTTCCGTTCCCCTTCACTGTCCATGGCTGCCACAATAGTTGTTCACTGTGATAGTGCTATTTACATGACCCCAGTGAAAACGTAATTATGTTCACATTAACGTTCTGATTTACTGGTTGCCAACGGAACCATCCTGAAGTATGGCTGAATACCGCTGTTTTTAGTTGCGGACGACACGTCTCATTTTTGTGATCCAGGATTGTGTGGCCCTGACTCAGTGCTTAGTGTGTGTTTTATTTAATTGTGTGTGTTCCGAAATAGAAGTTTGATGAGCTGTTATTGTGATATTGAAGTAGACAATTCTAATGGGTTCTCGACAGCCAATGTTATATGCATCGATGAGTAGGCTGTCAAGAGATGGATGTTTTCATACGCAAACGTTTTGTGTGAAAAGTCATGTTATTTTGAGGTACCGAATGGAATTAGATACCTGATTTTGACCAATCATAATCAAGCATTATTCAGTGTCACGGCATATTTCTCTTTTTTTGTGGAATGTGATTGTGTATCATTTTTCTTTATATACATGTAATTAAGTTCACTATTCATCGAGAAATGAATATGCTGTCCTTTTCCTGCTTTGTACACTGTAAATGTAATTATTCGCATATCTTTTGCATACAAATGATAACGTTTATGAAACTGTTAGGGACATGTTCGGTGGCGAACAGGTAATTTCCTCATTAAAACAAACAATAATGAAATTAAAGTATAACATTATAAAAAAAGTGTTTTAAAATTGGTTATTCGTGACAATATTTTTACAAATCTCTTTGTGATCTGTAATCACCGCCAACGTTAGGATTTTGGAGAAGGGGATTTCAAAAGTCCATCAGAAGACGCTCCTCCTTTCAAAAGGTGACAACAACTCATAAACAAATATCCGAACATCGCTGAAATCACAGAACAGACACTTGATCACAACAGCTTATCAAACTTGATGAAATTCATTTCAGAGCACGCACAATAAAGCAAAACATACACGAACCACTATTTGGTCAACAACGATCACATTTCTTTTACATGCTGGCTTCGAATGCTGTGAAATCTTGAAACTGACATGTTACAAACATGAATCTGCCGGCTAATCAGCAGCCTAAAAAACGTCTGTCATAATCAAGGGTGTTAGGCATTTACGTTATGCCAGCTTCAACTGACAATAGAGTAACCGCGATGTAGGTCAAGTTTTTCCACATCCCAGTTTTGGGTAGGAGAGGCATTTTTGGAATTTGCATTATTTACTGGGGGTAATTCTAACTGACTAATAAGATTCACACATTTAAAATAACTAGTAGAATGTTAATTAATTTGTTGTTAAAGGTTTGTTGGAGAAATATATTCGTTCGGCACATTTTGAACTATTTCTACAACCTGTCAAAAGATATGCGAATGATTACAGTTGGAGATCGCACATACGATTTCAAAGAAATGACTTGTCACGTCGATAACCAAGAAATGACTTGGTCAGTCACAGCAGTATACAACAGGTTGCGATGAAATTAAAACATACACTTTGGACTCGATTTGAAGGGTTATTTGTCAACTTCTTTTTGAAAAACTATGTGTTTTGAACACTTGAACACTTATTTTGAACTTGTCAAGAGTGTAGTTAATTCAATGTTGAACTTAGCAATATTTGTTAGTATTTGTATCTAGAGTAGATACCTCTTATTCAAACATTTGAAACATGGCACTAAAACTAAATTAATTCCAAATTAAAACAAGAGGCATTAACCGTACAGTGGGACAACATGATATTTCAAAACGTGATAGTATGATAATGTCGAGGTCATGAGTACACGCAATTCAAGTTGTCAGTTGGTTTTAGATCACAATAACATTGTTGTTTCAGTATCTTGGAATGCGGTTTGATTCGACTGCTGTTCGCCTTCTTGGTACCTGTATTGGCATGTTACAGACGGTAGGTACAGGTTATCAATGAGATCATCTTAACTTGAAGAGACAGATTCCTATGAAGATTCATTGTGCAAATAATACTACATACATTCCATTTTGTTTTCATTTCCTGTGTTCAGACGGTAGGTACAGGTAATCAATGAAATCATCTTAACTTGAAGAGGCAGATTCCTTCGAAGATTCATTGTGCAAATACTACATACATTCCATTTTGTTTTCATTTCCTGTGTTCAGACGGTAGGTACAGGTTATCAATGAAATCATCTTAACTTGAAGAGGCAGATTCCTATGAAGATTCATTGTGCAAATACTACATACATTCCATTTTGTTTTCATTTCCTGTGTTCAGAAACGCCTACATGGCACAATAAAACATTTCTATTGTTCTCTCCCTGTAGGCTTCATACATGGCCATCGCCCTACTTTCACCAGCGCTGGCACTCCAGACGGGTATGTTCCGGTATTGCTGTTATGTTTTAACCATTCACACACGATATTGAGAATGCAAGAAAACATACTTGAAATACAATTTGCTGACATTTATGGATTGATTTCAATATTATTTTTTTAGCCTTTATGGGGTAACAACGCAAGAATGTATTAAAGTCAGTTCTTATCAATAAAGGATAACAACACGAATAACGTTACAGACTGATATTTAATTTTTAACACAGCAATGTATACAACAACGCGAAATCAGTGACATCGTTCAGTGTAATAATACAACTAAAGCCGCGCCCACCCTATAATCGGCCGATCGGTAGTCCGTATAATGGCGTGGTCTAATATTTGTTAGTTTATGGAAGATAAACGTATAAAAGATTGCTTTGTTAGCCAAACAAAAGCCAAGTCATGGAATCACTTGGAATTTATATACATGTATTGAATAGTACTATTTGGTATGAGGGGCGGTCAGGTAGCCTAGTGGTTAAAGCGTTCGCTCGTCACGCCGAAGACCCGGGTTCGATTCCCGACATGGGTACAATGTGTGAAACCTATTTGATGTGTTCCCCGCCGTGATATTGCTGGAATATTGCTAAAAGCGGCGTAAACTCATACTCACTCACTCACTATTTTGTGTAATGGGGCATATTATTCAAGCTTAGGACTCAATTATTTTATACTTCTATGATAGCCTTTTGTTGCGTGAATGATATAAATGACAAGTGCTATTATGCATTGATATACACAAGTTGTATTGGCAATGGTTGGGAAATGTGTAACGTATGTACCAAACACATTGGACAGACTCACTTGTATCAATGAAATTTCACCACTTGATTGTGATTTATAGACACATGCTTATGTTATAGACGGAATCGAATAATGCGTTGGCTCTATGTTAAATATAGATTTGCTATTCATATGGAAATGGTTTTGTCACTTTTATTTAATGTTTGCCTCATTTTCTTATCCAGTTGCTGGTCTTCCATTATGGTGGTCTATAGTGATCGTTGGTCTCGTTGGCACGATCTACACTTCGATAGTGAGTTGTAAATATACTTCATGTATATACGTCGTATGTTCCTGTAAAGGTTTGTAAGGCTGTTAGATAACGCCACATCAGCTGCAGCTGTATGATTGCAACCCGTTGGTGATCGAGTCTTGACAAACTAGAACTGAGTGAACACTCCACGTCGTCGGAGTAAAATCACGCACAATCAATCAAGTCATGGAGCCGACCACCCGATCTATCTATTAGCCTTGTATCACAAGTTGGAATGCTTAGGAATTAACCTCGACTGTAATATGTACATGTACATGCATGCGCTCCGGGTTTTAGGCATGAAGCATAGGGATAGGAAAGTCACTTAACATCACGACTTCTCTGACAGAATTCAAACATACACTCCCGCTTTGAAACGTGTCTTTATTGTAGAATCCCATGGATATTATGAAATCATGATGACCTTCTTCTTAGGGTGGCATCAAGAGTGTGGTGTGGACAGATGTGTTCCAGTCATTTATCATGCTGGCGGGAATACTCACCTCAATAGTCCTTGTAAGTATATGTCCATTTTTTAAATGTGCTTTGGTCAGGAATGTGATTTGACATAAAAAACTGTGACAGAACAAAAAATATTTTGATATTTTGTAGACATCCACATAATACAAGAGAAACCTCGTATCAGGTGCCTTAATGTCTATCAAACCCAACAACATCAAGTAAAAATATTATGTTTATTGCTGGTTGATTTCTGTTCCATCACACCCGCTTCTTCGACAAATAGAATCATTACGGTTTTCTTTGATATGGTTCAGCTAGTGACTGGCACTAGTTATACTTGTCTACAGTCACATGATGAGATCTTTCGTATGTCTAGATTTGAGTTAACGTGCCCTCACATTGACGTGAAATATATAATGTGTTGCGCCATTATAAGCCCGGTGATCGTTGGTCTTAATTCGCAAGATATAATAAGGGGATATTAATCCTACAGTCACCTTGACACGTTCGGAAAAGTATTTTATTCGTTTGTTTCTTTGTTGCTTTACGCCGCCGCATATTCAAGTTATACGACGGCGATCTGTAAATAATCGAGTCGGCAACAGACAATCTGGTGATTAAAATTATGAGCATCTATCTACGCAATCGGGGTACGGTGACATGCAAGTAGCGAGCGTGACTACCCGATCCCTTTAGTCTCATCTAACGACAAGCATGAGTTGCTGAAGACCAATTCTACTCCGGATCTTCATTTTTCTTATTTAGGGAGTTATGAGATCTGGTGGAACACTGAACGTCCTCAAAACAGCACACCAGGAAGGAAGACTGGGTCTTGATGAGTAATTCCAGATCTGTATTTTGTAGTTAACTTAACTGTTAATTGTTTATGCTAGTTTTGTCAGTATATTAGACTTTACTGTATGGAATTATATACGTTCAGAGCATCATCTATATTTCGATGATGAGGAATATAGGGACTATCTCGGGTTTAGTTTACAATGTTAGACATGATATTAAATACATTCCATGGATTACATAATTATACTATAACTACAACTATTTATACTGTCATTACCACCGACTATATTTCTTCACAGAATTGAAAATTGAAAGGACTGATGTAAAATTTGATTTTCTCTATTTAACCATCACTCATCAGTGAGTGGGTAATGTGGTGTAAAAATAGATAAAAAATAGATGACCCATACCATGTTTGAAATTTATATTTGTGCCGAAAAAACAAACAAATTTATTGATTTTTAAAGATAAGATGTCCAAAATACCCTTTAGCGATTGTGTATGTATGTACATGTTGATGTATTCTTTCAATGCTGACTAAGCGACATTACAATTCATTTGTTTTGGAAATAATATCCCTATTTTAAGTTACAATTAAAAAACAAATATGATAAATCAACCGAGAGGTATCGTTTATCATTTTAATGGCAATAAAAGATGATGACAATTTTACTTAAAATCGCAAAACAAATAAGCATTAATTGTGAATTTGTTTTATGACCTATCTTTACAGAATAAATCCCGATCCACGAGTACGTCACACAGTATGGGGGCTTATTATCGGTGGTTTCTTCAATTGGTATGTCAATCTCTTCACGCAGTCAATGGGTCAAAGAACCTTTGCAATCAAATCATTGAAGGGCGCTAAAATGTAAGTAGCCAAAGTAGTATTTGACAACAACTCTTATGATAAGGCGAACTAAGGGACTTACCTATAGAATGCTGAGGTGTGTAATGTAATGTCAACTTGTTTTAGATTTCCAGGATGTAGTGCCAAGGAATCTGCCTCTGTTCAAATCTCACGAACGATGTCACCCAAGTGTGAACAATCCTCATCCAAAGTTCAGGGTGCACGGGTGGCCCAGTCGTCTAAGGCGCCGCGATTCACTGTGCACCTATGATTGTGGGTTCGAATCCCGGTTCGCCCCGATTATGTTTCTAGGTTTGTCAGCACCATACCTGTGCTCGTGAGTTTCACCGAAGTTGGAAACGTCTAAGACCTGCATCACTTCGGGCTTTCCTCACACATTAAGCTGACACGCCGTGATATAACTCAGGAACTGTAAAAAGCGGCGTTAAACCCAACTCACTCACTCACTCCAAAGTCAAATTTGGCCGTCGTGGCCGCCATATGTAAATCCCATTTTGGACTATTTCCCTTCCATTTATATTCTTAATTCAATGAATATAATATTTAATTTGGTGACAATGATTCAATCCCTTATGGACATGAATCTGATTAATCATTGGAGAAGTTGATATTTTGTCCTTTTGAATTTTTGTTTCTAACCTGTATCATTCATAATATTAGGACGCTATGCTATTTTGGTCAACCGCATATCTCATCAGAAATGTGTGACCATCTTCAATTAAAACGACATAAAACATGTTTGTTTTAGGTCCTACCTTCTGAATGCGGTATTCATGGTATTGTATGCCCTGTTACTATGGGCAACAGGATTAGCCTTGTTTGGGTTTTTCTATACCCAGGGATGCGATCCTTATGAAGCTGGAACTGTGACAAACCGGAACCAGGTACATATAAACATTTGATGAAACACAACAACACACAAACATGTTCTCCGAATGCATCATTCTCGACACAAAATGTATTTTGATGCTGATCAATAAATAATGTAGACAGTCGAATTTTGCTCGTACATGTGTTTGTGCCAATTGCCTCCAATGGAGCAAGATACACTCACATTGTCGAGAACATATGGTCTAAGCATTATTAACATAACTATTCTATGGTTAAACAACAACAAACCAAGGTTGTCCCTTCCAGCTGAAAACCCCCCAGAAAACACCAAGCATGAAATACTCATATCCCCCGCCAATATGACATGTCCGGTTGTTATTATTGGTGTTGTTTTGCCATCTGCAGTTTATGATAGAATATGAAACTGTATTTGTAATGAGTAAGGATGAGACAAATGGACGAACAACTTCTTTATTACAATTAGGAGTGATGGTTTCGGTGTAGGTTCCAACACCGTTATGAAGCAAGTGAAGTACAGGTATGGTTGACAAGAATATATACAGGATAGGAGGCAGTGTTTATACAGTTGAGTAGGTTTAAGATCAGTTACACTGTTTTATTTGTAATAAGTTGCGTTTCTGCATGAAGTTAGTCAGTGAATGCAACAACCGTGTCCATGACACTTTTGGAGGAACGTACATACAAGCAATGCAGAACTTACAACAAGAAAGGAAATGTTTTCAATACTGCGAGATGACATTATGTGCCAAGTTTGGTGAAGAAATATGGTACGGTTTTCAAGATCTGCTCCCGAAACGAAATGTGACGGACGGACGGACAAAGTATATTGCCATGCAATTTAAGGAATCCCTCTTAAAATTATAATATGTAATACGACCATTGTATCATGGCTTCAATTGAATCATCATTAGTCTCAGATAATATTGTCGATCGACAGTTATGCAATTCCTATTCCAGCTTATGCCGTACTTTGTGATGCAATTATTATCCGGCTTCCCTGGAGCCACTGGTCTTTACATGTCGACGTTGTTCAGTGGCGCTCTGAGGTACGTCTGCGTATACACCTATTGCGCATTCAGGTTTATGCCAAATAGTCGTATACTAACTTTCAATAAAAGATTGTTCTGCTCGTGTAATTGTCGGGTAAACTGTAAACGCAATCATCTTAATGACGTTTTTATTAGTGGTTTCTTCTTTTGTTGAACGCTTCTTCAGTACTGTATCATCTGGAATAAACGCTTTAGCTGCCAACACAGTAGAAGATATTCTGGGGCCATCTCTTCGAAGGGTGAGATCTGAGAGACTCGTCACTGTCATAGCCAAATTAGCAGGTAAATACATGTTGAAAATAATATTTCAAATATAACTCTCGTCACTGTCATAGCCAAATTAGCAGGTAAATACATGTTGAAAATAATGTTTCAAATATAACTCTCGTCACTGTCATAGCCAAATTAGCAGGTAAATACATGTTGAAAATAATGTTTCAAATATAACTCTCGTCACTGTCATAGCCAAATTAGCAGGTAAATACATGTTGAAAATAATGTTTCAAATATAACTCTCGTCACTGTCATAGCCAAATTAGCAGGCAAATACATGTTGAAAATAATGTTTCAAATATAACTCTCGTCACTGTCATAGCCAAATTAGCAGGTAAATACATGTTGAAAATAATGTTTCAAACATAACTTACATAATTAATATTCAATATTTACAGAATTACAGTAGCATTAAGGATCCGGGGATTCGCATTTCGCCCATGGTCAGGATCGAACCCAGTCCAAGACTGAATGCCATTATATTAATTAGAATCAGGTTACAGGTTATCGTATATTCTCGTGCGTCATCTTGTATCCCTTTCAATGGAATAGTTATAAAATACAATGTTAATGAAACCTGCAACTGAATGGTCTAATAAACAATGTCTTTGGTCTTTCATGTTATCTGAAAGTGTAATCTGATGTATTTCATTGAACTTTCTGTCCGTGATGTATAGTGTCTTTGTTACTATTTTCTAGTATGTTTCTATGGCCTTCTGGCTATCGGTCTGGCCTATGCTGCTAAATCACTTCAAGGCCCTGTAACACAGGTAAAGGCTCACAACAACATGCAGTAAACTACGGTTATAACGAATTCCTAGGGATAACTAATTTTAGTTCGTTAAAACCGTAGTTCGTAACAAGCATATGCACAACATGTTGACAGCATGTGACCGGGACCAAAAACTAAATTCGTTATATCCGTCACTTCGTTATAAGCGTGTTCGTTATAAACGCAGTTTACTGTATATGATATAACAAAATTATGATGTAAACATCATATGTATTCAATTCCGATTAATGGTCTCGTCAATTGCCAGCAAGAGTAATGTTTCTTATAGTATGAGGTTAAGCACCGGTATATCGGACAATATGCACATATTTTGATGTCTTCGTATTCAAACAACTCTAACTATCAGATGTAGCCACAAACATAATGCTGCACATGTTGAATTGTTATTTTTCAGATGGCTATGGCCGCATTTGGGGCTTGTGGAGGTCCTGTCCTGGGCATGTTTCTCCTCGGAGCTCTGATACCATGGAGCAACAAAATCGTGAGATTCTTTGTCCAAAGTGTAATATGTTAGTGAGATACATTTGTCATATCACTGTTTTTCACATCATGTCTACCTACAAATACATCCAATAACATGTGGAACAATCGGGCATGATCTTTCTTCGAAGATGTCAATGAGCGCCATATGACTCTTGATAAAAAATTGTTTGATCAAGGTTACAACATTCAAGGCCTCAGCAAAACTTTCAAACAGTTGAACACATCAGTGACAAAAATAATGTCCAAAGAAATTTCCTATTTTGACCATGTGTTCAGGTATTTCATCAGGTGAACAGTTGACTTTGCATGTGCACTGACGGGTGCCACCTTTGGGGTAGGATATGGTCACCTTTTCACTAACAACTGGTATCAGCACTATATGACAGTCATTCATATTCCAATGCTAATGATACAGTCGGAATCAAACAGTGTAAACCGCTTTCAATAGAGATTTCTTATGATTATGAAAATTAATTTTGTTTCATACTTTTTTGAAAAAAAATATCTTCCTCTGTCTGTTACTGCCTTTTTAATACACATACAGTAAACTACGGTAATAACGAACCCAAGGGACCACTAATTTTATTTCGTTATAACCGTAGTTCGTTATAAGCAAATGTACGGAATATATAGAGCAAATAGACAGGACCAAAAAAATAGTTCGTTATATCCGTCAGTTCGTTATAAGCGTGTTCGTTATAACCGTAGTTTACTGTACGTGCATTTCAAGAGAGTAAGACAGGTTACAACGTTATTACAATGTAAGTTAAAATCCAAGGTTTAATAATTGTATGGAACGATGAGTTGTGTTAAATGTTATTTCTACTGTAAAGGGTGCATTCTTTGGGGGCCTAATATCCTTGGCTCTCAATGTTTGGATGAGCATTTCCGGGCAAATCTACGGCCCGAGGCCAACAACTCTACCGCCGGCACCAATGTTCGCATGTGCAAAAGAAGATGTCCTGAATAGCACGACTATCTCCATGTATTCTAATGCAAGTTCCGTGTATGAAGCTACCACAATGACAATAGATGAAAGGTAAATTGCCTTGTTATTAACACTTGACTGGGTAACTGGGGCGTAATATATAGTATGTATATGTATGTATATGTTTCCAGTCTTTCTTCCAAAAGGAGTTTTCATATATGACAATGAGTATCAATATTAAATAAATGACCAGGTTTGTATTTACAATAATACTGGTAGAGGATTTTCTTTTCTTAACGTGGTCTGTTTATTTATGTTTCTTCAAGCATTGTGCTTTCTGCAAATTTCAGCATGGTCGCTGAGCCATTCAGCTTAACTGGGGTGTCCTACTGCTGGTATGGTTTGATGGGGACTTTGATTGCCATGATTATTGGATGTTTAATATCTTTGATAGCAGGTTAGTACATATATATCAAATATGCTATGCTTTGTTATTATGGATTTATAAAAATTATGATCTAGGAAGGCCGACTTTGAAATAAGAAAGAAGTGTTCTTTCTGTTTGTCTGTGTATTGTTTAACGCTTCACTGAGCACTATTCCAGCTATAAGAGGGCTGTCTGTTAAAAAATCGAGTCCGGGACAGGCAATCCGGTGATTGATATCATGAGCATCGATCTTAGCAACTGGAATATGATAACATGCATCAATCAAGTCAGCGAGTCTGACCACCCGATACCGTTAGTCGCATCTTACGATAAGCATGAGTAGCTGAAGACCTATTCTATCCCGGATCTTCACGGGTAGTTATTTTTTGTAATGTGGAGGTCGATTGTAGGATGCACGATCTTAACCCATGTTATGCACCGACTATTAATACGCTTACCATTCAATGATAAGCTTACTGTACTACACAGAAGAATGACTCCAGCAATTTGTCTTTTTCACATGCCTTAAGATGATCGTTAGGGATTGCTGGAATTTTCACGAATTGCTATGATAGCAAAGAAAGCGCACCCTAGTTGACAGTTTCTTATTTGCACCAGTTTCCTCATCTGAAAGAATGTCTGACAGTAAACTAGTTTAAGACATATTGCAGGTTGTTTGTAATTACTCGCAGTAACCTTTGTAAAACCATAACTGGCATGTTTGTTAAGCTGCGATTTGGCGACCCAATATATCCATTTTTGTGAAACGTTAATATTACATTTGGACACAGATTAATGTCAAAGAAATGCATTGATATTCCACTAGAAAACTTTCATGAAGTATTTTCTTTTTGTGGCACAGAACTTCTGTCACTGCATTTATAAGTTCCTTGTGTCATTGCAAAAATACGTTCCTTTTGAAGCTTGATATATGCAACTGCTATTGCATGTATCAAGTTGTTGTTGCTGTTGTCATATTTTGTTGTGGCAGAGATTTCTTGTGAGTATAGGATGGGATTTCTCGGAATTTTTCACGGGCACAATTTAAATGGAATAGACAGAATGAGCTTGAAGTATTGATGAAGGGATAATATGTACAGGTTTCAATCTGTATCCATGTTCAGGGCGCACGGACGTTAATACCCTCGACCCAGACCTAGTGTTTCCGTTTGTGAGAAAGCTGTGTAAACTGAGGGAGCCTTTGACAAAAGACGATGGCCTGGTCACCAGTGCAGAGTACAAAGCAATGACAGTAAGAAACAACAGCGATATGACTTTTTAATTCTTAATCACAGAAGTTGCAAAGGCATCTCATCGACAACTGCAACATTCAGTTAACCAGGTCATTGGTGTTTTAAGGCACCATGTCCCTCAGAATTGCGGTACGATCATCTCCAACTGTTTTCAGTTGGGTGAACATTTTGCGTCTTTGGAGCTTTACAGCTGGATTCAAATCTGGATTTACTGACAGTCACCAAAGGGGTCATTACCTTTTGACTGAGATCCTATGAATCCTGTGGGTGCGTGTGTGACACACAGTGTGGCCACTATCCTTCTGAAAGACATATATCACAGGTGTCGAGGAGATAAAAGTACAAGGTGGGATCAAAAGGCTTTATCGTAGACGTAGTAACCCCCTGTCAGAGACAATCTCCTGTATGATATTCGATCCAGTTCACTGGCTCTACAACTGTCTACTAAGGAATTCAGTGTATCTGATCTCATCTATGACAAAGATCGTTTTGCACTGCTGACGACATAACTTGGGATGTAGCATTTTACAAAGACATGGTTGTTAATTCAAGGACTGTGCAAGGTGTTGTGGACGATAGACCCGTACCGAACATCCTGATGCCATTTCTCTTAAGACACACACACACACACACACACACACACACACACACACACACACACACACACACAATCTGGGACCCTATGATAAACCCCATTTCTTCTACCAAAATCAAAAGATTGTCATTTTATTACCTCATATATTTTGTTTGCATATACTACATTCATAGTTTGTCATAACTAATCTTGCTATTATTTTTCAGAATTACAGATTCTCGTGGGACATGTACAAGATAAACGCGCCTCAAGAAAACAGCGAAACTACATTTACATAACAAATTCGGAGACTCGGACGTCCATCAGAGCCTGCAACGACATTAAACATCTTTATTGTTGAAAATACAGATTCAGAAAGGTGATCCAAATAAGGATATGGATAGTCGAATGTGCTGCATCGGAAGACAGCCTGAATGATTCTTGAAGAAATGGACAGAAAAACCCATCCAATGTATTTGTGGAACACCAAGCCTAGTGTTCATTATCCAAAGGAGCCTGAATGACGGCTATGTTATGATACATCGTATATACGGAGTCCAAGTTAACCTAGTAATCTTTTATTCAGTTGATTCAGCAAAATATACTTGACAAATTATTCACACAAAAATTGTCAAAATCATTAACTCTTTTTACATCTTCTAAAACTCTAAGATGATATTTTTGCATTTGGAATAGCATAGTATTAAATAAAAGGATGAGTCATTACCGATACAAAACTACGTTTATTGTTAGTAAACAATTCTTACATGGATATAACAATTTTGTTGATTTGTAATCCAAAATGTACTGTAAACATAAGTGATCACCATCAACAGAAAATAATAAAATACCACTAATTCCTCAAATATTTGATTTTGTTTAACCATTCATTTAGAGGCGCCACAGTCATCCTTTGCTGATGGATCTGTTCTATAATGTTATCACCTCACATGATATGTAACTGCTTGTTTGTTTATGTTTAACGCCGCACTTATTCCAGCGATATGAAAATGGTCTGTCAATTATTATACCTGACAATACATGTACGCACATTCAACACGCGCCTATCACAAGCACACATTACCAACAACGTGTTACTCCTCACATCGTTCTCAGAACCTATCATCACAGCGCTTTCAATCTTGATAATTGCGATAAATGTAATATTTAAAATGTAAATTACATTCCAAGTGGAGAATATATTCATTGTTTATGGATCCCTACTATATATCAAGTCTTATTGTGTTACTGAAATAACTGAAAGTCAGCATTCATTTGTTTATCATTAATGTATTCGTTTATTGTTAAATGTGACTAGTAATGTCTCACGTATCTCCCTTTTTCTCCTGTCGTGAATCTGTGATACCACTGCGATATGTGCTACGCGGTGATATTCATAAATTTGATAAATGTATTATAGGGAATTATTTTTCTACTTCTACTGCTATTTCTACTAAAAATCCCCCAGCAAGTCTCGTTTCTTTTTTAAATTCGGCGTTACAGCTGTAACACTAACAATATCATGTCGAGGGACACCAGAAATCGAGACCCGTGACGATCCGGGGTAGAATAGGTCTTCAACAACCCATTCCTGCCGTAAAAGGCAACTATGCTTGTCGCAAGAGGCGACTAACGGGATCGGGTGGTCAAGCTCGCTGACTTGGTTGAAGCATGTCATCGATCCCAATTGCGTGGATCGATGCTCATGGTAACAATCACTGGGTTGTCTGGTCCAGACTCGATTATTTACAGACCGCCGTCATATAGCTGGAATATTGCTGAGTGAGGCGTAAAACATCAAACCAACCAACTAGAAATGGGCTTCACACGTGCACGTTGTTCCCATGTGGGGACTCTAACATGGACTTTCGGCTAACGCTATAACCACTAGGCTATCCGACTGGTCCAAAAACGCATGAGGCAAAACACAAGATCATTTTTTCGGGTAGGAATAAATAAGAAGCCCTTTTGCAAATTTCAGTGAAATCACGAATGTCCAAAAACAAGACACAGTCGAATGTATTGAATGAGGCACGTGTTCTGGACTCGGATCACGGAAGTGTTGGAAGCTGGCTGCTGGTAGTCTTTATTTTCAGTCAGGTATCCCGTCCACACTTTGCGCTTATACAGGTTCATTCAGCCTTCTAGAAACTGTCACCTCTCAGAGCTTCTCGAATGGTGTAGCCTGTCCAAGTGTTTACACAACGAACGAAAGTAACTCTAACTTACAAAGGCCGATAACTCTGAGGTAATATGGCAGTCCCAGACCTCTACCAAATCTCGAAATTTTACGAGCGCCTTGTTTTGCTGTCATCAATTATTATCAGGTGAGCCGAGGTGAAATTGGGTTTAACGTCGTGTCAAAGATTATTGTACTTATATAGCGACGTGCATGCACGCGTGTGTGTGTGTGTGTGTGTGTGTGTGTGTGTGTGTGTGTGTGTGTGGCTGCTTGTTCTAGTCCGGACTGATGCCGATTTATAGTGCTAGCTCACTGAGATACACTACTGCCTATAAGTACATTCCCCTAACACGCGTTGAGAACGCGTGTAACACGCATGTGACACGGGTGCTCAACGGGTTGCACACGGGTGTGCAACGGGTGTGCGGCGCGTGTGCAACCCGTTGCACACGCGTGTAACACGGGACCGGGTTCCAGTTGAAGTTTACAAAATTATCAAATGAATAGTGAGATAAAACAAAACAGTGAGATGTGAAATTTGAGTTAATGAGCGGCCATTGAGCTGTGTTCACCAGACCGTAAATACAAGGTCGGCCCGTCTTAATTAGTGTTCGGTTGTTAGACTTTTATGGCATGAACCATTCCACTAGGGTCCCGTCTAGCCATTGTGGCTAGCCGACAGTAGAACAGCAGTGAATTTAGATGCGAGTTTATTGCTAGGGGAACCCCCGTGTTGACACGATTGTCGCGGGTTGGTAAATGTTCGCCATTAATAAAATGATTGTTTGTGGATTTGCGAACATATTCAGTTGCCCACACGAGTCATTCCATTTGATTGCAAATATAACGTTTTTCGTTCGCCAAATTTATGCTTTAGACAGTACAATTATGATATAGCCGTCACCACTACTAATGTCTCATTATTTCACGTAGGAATATGTCCCATTTCCCCACACCCCACTTTCTGTTTTGTATTTTGAAAGAATAAATAAAAGAAGGTTTTGTGTGGGACACTTTTATACTAATTATAAGAGGATGTTGTAAATGAATATGAACAGCCATGCTGTCTGTCTGTTGATAGAATTTGAGATCTTCACAATCACCGGGTGTGACCATGTAGACAGAATCTCGTTAGGGTTTGTGATTTTTACATTTGCCCAATGACCATAGTGAGTATTGCTGGGGATACCAAACGTAACAGTTTATTATTAGAGGTTGTGAGTACCTATACCACGTAGATAGGATATATTTAGGATTTTAATCCTTCTGTGAGAGGCATTTAGAAGTTCGAGTACTACGTTAGGATAAGATTTATGGGTGACTTTAATCCTTTCTTTCTCTGTGGGTAATCCTTTCACGTTGATTGGAGGAAGTCACTCAACTAGGTCATGACAGGTCGTGAGTTTACTCACTAACTACTGTGAGCGTTTTTGGCATAACATCTTTTCTTGTATAAACATAGAAACGATACTCACTGTTAATCTTCTGCAGTTTGCTGGCAAAGTGGGGATAAACCTCAGTGTCAAAGACGATCAAACTTAGTTCGAATCCTTGTTTATATGTGACATCTCCCAAATGGGGACATGTTCATAAACTTGGCAAGTGATGATGAATTTTAATATTAATATTATTATAGTTTATGAAATTGTTAATAAAACTTTAATAAAATTTTGCTTCACTCTCACGAAAAATATATTGTCTGTGAGTAAATTTATAAGTCACGTTTCATCGGCATTTTTCAGTGATATTGGGACTACATGAAACATGGCTGGTTTTACATTTCTGATACAGGTGCTTGACTGACTGAGTAGTTCATGATCAATTAGATATGTTTAAATCAGTCAAGTTTGCAACAATAGATGAATAATATGATACATTTGGACCGCAGTTACCGATTAACAACTTAAGACATAGAGACAGGGAGGAGATATATAACCAAACCTATGGTCCTGTTGAGACAGTTGACAGTTAGAACGTTGGATTAAATGACAGTAACTAATTTGAACGTTCCCCAGTAATATCATAAAATACATCATAACTCATAACAGTCCGAGAAACAGCTTCCAGCCATATACTAGTATTGAAGGGACAATCGCTTTTGACAGTTTAAAAATAAACTCACCTTAAGGTGCTTGGCAAGTCAAAACTGACCTCCCTGAATATGTTTTTTAGGTTTGACAGCAACTATGCTTGTGGATTTCAGAGATAGACATGATTTGTTAGCTAGATGTTATTACAATAAGCGAAAATGTCTTAAAAGTCCACAGTTTGTTTAATAGTACAAAAAGTGTGTTATAGATCTATCAACGTTTTCTTTTATTGAACATAATATTTGCACTATATTGCTGTTAGCTGTAAATAATCTAGCCTCCCCATGTACGTAACTTACATATATTTATGTATGACCAGAACAGCAAATAAAGTTCTGGTAGATAGGTACCTCGGAGATTTAACGTGCGCTTTCCGACTTAAGCCTATCTCGCTCACGGGGAAGCACATATTAGGATAAAAAAGCGTGATTAAATAAAGAAGTGCACCCCCCCCCCCCCCCCCCCAAAAAAAAAAAGTTTACAGCCTATTCTAATAAAGTTAAAGGGGTTGGGGTTTGGCTGGGTGGGAGTGGGTGATAAAAGAATATTCAATAATATGGAAAAGTTTGGGCCTTGGGGGTGGGGGGGGCAAGCGTGGGAAGGCACGGCGTCGGCTGGCGAGCATGTGTGGCTAGAAGTCTAGCGGCGGTATCCTTCTAGTAGTCTCTTGGTCAGCTTCTCATCCTGGGGGTTGGGATTCTGGTAGAGACTCTTGGCAAGGAGGGCGGCGGTATTGGCGACGAAGTGGTTTGAGGTCGGTACGCCACTACTCTGGAGGAAGTGGTACAAGTCTGTGTAGTTTGTGATGTCGTACTCGATGTCCTGTCCCCCCTTCTTATGCACCATGACGAAAGGGACTCCTTGTTTGGCGTAGAGATGTTCCTTTGGGGTGTTGATCTGGTCAACCTTGAGATCCGGCCGGGCCTGGTAGTGGTTACCACTAATTCCTCAAATATTTGATTTTGTTTAACCATTCATTTAGAGGCGCCACAGTCATCCTTTGCTGATGGATCTGTTCTATAATGTTATCACCTCACATGATATGTAACTGCTTGTTTGTTTATGTTTAACGCCGCACTTATTCCAGCGATATGAAAATGGTCTGTCAATTATTATACCTGACAATACATGTACGCACATTCAACACGCGCCTATCACAAGCACACATTACCAACAACGTGTTACTCCTCACATCGTTCTCAGAACCTATCATCACAGCGCTTTCAATCTTGATAATTGCGATAAATGTAATATTTAAAATGTAAATTACATTCCAAGTGGAGAATATATTCATTGTTTATGGATCCCTACTATATATCAAGTCTTATTGTGTTACTGAAATAACTGAAAGTCAGCATTCATTTGTTTATCATTAATGTATTCGTTTATTGTTAAATGTGACTAGTAATGTCTCACGTATCTCCCTTTTTCTCCTGTCGTGAATCTGTGATACCACTGCGATATGTGCTACGCGGTGATATTCATAAATTTGATAAATGTATTATAGGGAATTCTTTTTCTACTTCTACTGCTATTTCTACTAAAAATCCCCCAGCAAGTCTCGTTTCTTTTTTAAATTCGGCGTTACAGCTGT